ATGGGTTCTGTATGGTGTTCCCTGGTTAAATATCTGACATTTAATGCTATGGCCTTATCAAAGGCACACTGTCTGATAATACTGTGATAGGCATAATTATCAAAAAGGTTTTTTTTAATGCAGATAATAAAAGTGCAGGTAGCTTCCTTGTGTCTAATACTGAGCTCTAGAATGTTCTCTCCTGCACCCAACATTGTGTGACTGTTTCTAACAATGGCATCGCCTACAGTAATGTAAACATGCAATTATCTTACAGAGGCACTGATTCAGTCTGCCCTGTGAAAGAGTTTGATTTCTATAGGAATGCTACAATAAGTAACAATTATCTAATCTATCTTTGGGTGATAAAAAAAAACCCTCGTAGACTGTGTTTTTTTTTTTTTCAGCACAATTTTGATATATACCTTGAATGAGCAGGCATGATGTGTTATTTTTGTTGTTTACTCAAATAAATAAGCTTCTCCCTTTTCAAATGTATTGTATTGACTGGGATTTGATTAGAGAGAGCATATGATTACTAGAACACATTCAAGCCTGCTAACTCCACATAAATGAGAAATCTCCATCTGGTCAGGTAGCTTGAAAAGTTGCTGTGTTTTCCACCTTGGATCAGATATCCAATGGTGCCTATGATGGACATTTCTCATTTCCTGCAGAAATACTTACTGGTTGCTGTAGGTGAAGCTGCCTCACCTTCAGTGGATGTAGTGATGGGTTTAGTATCTGTCATGCTCAGGGTCACAGGTCGCACTGCACTGGGATGGGGAGAGGGTGCCAAAACAGGAGTGAAATGGCCAGGCACTTTCCCTACCACTTGACCACTGCTGTTAGGCTACAAAACAAAAACAGAATGCGGGTGAAACAATCCAAAAGGCAATCATGTCCAACAGCTCCACTAGGCACATGCAGCCACGGAATCCTGCTTACTGCCGGGAACAGCCACACGGGTTTTCTCAAGACTGGGTCCAAGAGGCCAATCAATGCTTAGTAATAAAAAGAAGCAGCAGCATCTAAAAGAAGGTTTTCATCTTCAAAGCATATCATATGGCTTCATTCATCTTTACAATACCCCTGTCAGTCAGGTACCCTTGATCTACTCATTAGCTAGGCAGATTACACAAGTGGAGACTTAAATGCTTGACCCAAGGCTAAAACAGCATTTCATACTGAACTATCAAATATCAGAACTCAGTTATTCCATATTCTCTAGTCTTCATGGTCCATAATTAGTCAGTTTTGATTTTTAGGATACAATTTCCACTTAAATAATGACATTACTGATGCAAGGGACAGTACAACGTCTAGGAGGCCAAACATACCACATTCTATAATTTACATTATTTAAACTCAAGGCCCAGTCTGTTACATATAAAAACCCAAGCACTTTCTCTCTCTCTCCCTCTCTCTTTCTGTCTCTCTCTCGCACACACACACATAAACATGCACTCACACACTGATCAGTTAAGACTGCAGGATCTCTTTTCAACGTCTGATGATTTACTACTACAAATACAGAAAATAACATTTGAGGTATCTAAAGATTCAGAACCATACAATGATAGGAAATGCTGAACTTGGGCTGATCTTAAACTACAAGCAAACTATTTTCAAAGCCAGTTAAAACATACAGATGTGAACAGGAGGAAATGTAACATTGCTATTTGAGTGATTCTTCAGTTGCAGTGTATAGAGAGTTACACAAAATATTTATGGGGATTGACTAGGAAAATCCCCTGGGTAATGGAAGAACAGATATTATTGTCTTGAGTTTTAGGTCCTGGGTGCAAAAATAGTTTCAATGGTGGAAGATAAAATCCTAAGAGAACATGAAGAAACACTATGATGTATTTTTCTTGAGAGAGGGTGCTATTTTTGGTTATATTCATATCAGAATTTTCCAGTACATGGTGTTCATAAACAGTCTACTAGGAGGATATTCTTCATAAATATATGGGGTTTATTATCTGGAATATTAAAAACAAATAAGAGCAATGAAATAAAGTATTATCTAAATACCTGCCCATAAATTACTAGCAGACATTACTTTAGGGAGAAATGATGAATAGCTAATAATAGAGTGAATTAGAGACGCGAACTTGGTTTTTGCTTTGCTCCATCAGAGATTGTATTCTTTATTCTATGAAGAAAATGAACTTCGATATCCTGACTATTCATCATAAGTAATTTTAAGTATTTAACTTTATGTCAAGAAAATTGACCAGAGTTTTCCTGTACGGAAACCTATGGGAGAGTTATATCTTTAAACTAATTTTATTCAAAATAGTCTATTGAATAGCATGACTGTCTCGCTATAATTGGTGTAGCAGTAATGTAATTAATCTCCAAATTGCTGTGGGGAGGAAAAGAAATCTCAGTTGCTTAACTGAACAATCAAACATCAGTGCAGCACTGGAGACTGCTGGAAAGAAGGTTCACTCTCAGTGAATGGTAAATGAGTCCTCACTTTTTCCATGTGTGGTGTTAAAAAAGTACATATCAAGAGTTCTACTTTGAAATGCAAATTCATTGGTTTGGGGAGGCAGTTAAAAATCAAAGCAAAGATAGTACTACTACAAAAAAAATTATGTGATATACTATAAAGATCCATTTTTTAATGCAAGAGAAAATTGTTCCTTTTTTAGTTTAGATTTTTTTTCATATTTCAAATTTTATTTTTAATATTGTTTACATAGTTGAGAGGGACACATACCCATAAGGGCCTCCGATGAGGGTGGGGTGCGTCAAGGTATGAAAAAAGGTGGGTGGGACAAATGTTGAAAATATGGAGTACTTCATGAATTTTGTTTCAGAGCAAAGCATCAGCTTCAGATTTTGTGACTATTACAAATGACTGCTGTAAACTAGTATCTTACTGCAGAAAGCAGATTGGTCTTGCTTTATCGCTGGTGCTTCATTTAGTGGTTAAAGTATCCCTGTAAGCAGTGTTCTCCAAAACAGGTTGTTAGTGCCTACCTGCAATAGAAACTGAATTATTTTCAAAGAAATGCTGCTTCCCGATATATGTTGCTACTCTGCCCATTCTGAAAACTTCATTACTGGAACTGAAGTACCATGAACCAACAGACCTTCCTCTCATTTAAAAATAACAAAAGTGACACAGAAAGAATGTCCAAGCCAATGCAGACAACTTCTCTGGGACTCACGTCAGAGGAAGGTTGAAGCTCTTCAGTTTTCTACTAAACAGATGAAGCTACACTCGAAAGCCTCTGTCTTTTCAGGCTGTTAATAGATGTAGATAGGAAAGGAGAGATGTCTTATCTCAAGCTGAAGCTAAACAGCATTAGGAAAGGATTATCCTACTTAGTGCATTGCTGCTATTATACAGAATCCTAAGAGGGTTGCTGTGTGTGTGTTTTTTTTAATGGAGATGTGGGTACGGTGCATCTCCAAGACACTGGACCTTTACCTTTGAAAACTTAAGGAAAAACTGAGAACTATATAGGCAGATTATCACCTTACATGCTCTCTTCTAAAGAAAATGAAATATACGTAAAACAAGCACTGAATAATTAAAGAAATGCGTAACACTAAGGGCCTGATTTTAATTTGCATAATTTTTCCCTTAACAGTGCCTAATTAAGACATCAGTTAAAAAAAAAAAGATCCAATGAAACTCTAAGATTTTCCACACTGAATTAACGTTAAGGACTTTTAATGGATGTCTTAATTAGACTTTGTTATTCATGGAAATTCTACACAAATTAAAATCAGACCTTGTGTGCACTGTTCCCAGCTGAGTTGAGCAAAATGCTCTATGGAACTGAGACGTCGGAATCCACGCTCTGACAGCAAGTTTTATTTCTGACCTGGTTTACTAAGATACCACTCTTACTTAGTTGTCATTGGTATTCCAATCCTTACAATCATTTGAATGTCTTCTTCAAAATGCAAATAATTAGTACTAAACTTCAAATATCAGTTTGCGCATCAGAAGTAAAAATAAAGGTAACTTTTTAAGCAACCTAAAGAGAGCTAGACACATTGTAATTCAGAACTAAACACTCAAAAAGGACCATTTTGCTTTATCTTAACAAATTAAACCCAGGGGAATTTTTTTTTTAACTTTTCTTTGTCAAGGCATATGCACACACTATTTACTAATATAACAGAAGTGTTGATAGGATGTTTGTTAAAATCACCTCCCCAAAAAAGCATTAACAGACATAATCAAGAAGTGGACAGGAGTCTTCAAAGCAAAGCAGCAAAACCATATAGCAGACCACACAAGCACACTTACATTTAAGGCTTCCACTATTATCATTAGCAGTAGACACAGCTTTGGTACAAAGTCTGTCTATTTGATTGTGGAACACCCCCTTAAATCAAGTCTATGAAGTGACCTTGCTATAAGAAGAAGCCACATGTCTAAGGAAGGAGAAATGTGAGGTACTACATAAAAAGTCCCTGAAATCACTGTACAATAGTCACAAAAAAAAAAAACAACGCTTCCAGCAATGTCACTCATTATTAACTGAAAGTCATGTCTCTGCAAAGAATATTCAAGTAGTCATCAAACACTGAAAATGTTTACATTACCAAAGCTTATTTAAATACCTAATAGCTGGCATATAAATACAACTGTAAGTTCTTTTTTATGTGTTTATTTTAGCACATACCTTACTCTGTCTGAAATAAGCACTTTGTCTCTGTGTTAAACCAAGCATTTCAGAGATGTGAACTCCAGCTCAGAGTTTTTTGGTCAATGTGCTTTCTGTGTAAACTTTCCCTTCAGTCAGTGAGAAATCCAAAAACATTAAATCCCAAACTTCACAAATATACCCCTTTGGGGCAACAGACTTCCTACCTGTCATTCAGACACCTTCAAATACAAACTTACTGAGTCACCAACAAAATGACTGAAGATGAACTTCACGGTTTGATGTTCTGCCAGACACTGTCTGACTGACCTTCGTGACTCAAGACTTAGGCCTGTCCCAACTCCCGTAGGCTCTATTTCTTATTTTCTCTCCTATTTTTACCTGGCTGGTTTGTGGGCTGGATGGGTCATAAGAAGGTACATAGTTCTTCAGAGTCTCCTGAGGATTCAGGTGGGGAGGATATCTGATTGTTGGATGAGAAAAGTAGCTCGACGGGGCTGGAGGAAGGATAGCTTGTGTTGGAAATGGCAACGGTGAGGGCGGAGGTGGAGTTCGAGTTGAGATGACTGCAGAAGAAAGACAAGTAAAGATTGACCCATCAGCAGTTTCCCTTACTGCTTCATTCTGATCTTAAACGATGCTGTAAAACTGTAAAAGTGGTAGCCATTCATTCTCAACCATGATTCAATCAAGTGCTTGTGAAAACAATGGTTGCTCTGACTTTTGTCCTCAATAGCAGTATTATGAAGCAAGCATATACAAGACCCCCTCTCCGGAATTAACAGTTTTACTTTCTAGGCTTGTGAATGATTCCACAAAAGGAATTTTCCTTTAGAGATAATCCCAAAATTGTATAAAAGGTTTCATTGAGCAAAGTTATCAAAGTTTTCCTATCAAAAAATCAAACCTTTGGCTATAAAGTCTCTGTCACAAGTACAGACCAGTCTGGACATTAATTAGTATTCAGAGACACAAATTTTCTACCAAAATTCAAAGCAGAAGTATAATCCAGTTTCACATATATCAGTTCCTATGCTTCCTAACTGGCAGTTGTTTAGAAGAAAAGCTAATAATTAAGCTAAAATCAACATAACAATATTGTATCATAAATAATTTCCAAGTCTTTGTCATTAACCTAATAAAACTGTCCCCCAAGTTCTTCCTCTGTAACTGACAGTATATGCAGCTAAAATGATATTGTTGGGGTAAGACTAAGCATAAAAATCCAAAGAAATGCAATCTAAAATTTCAAACTTTCATATGGACACATAAATTATTTTACACTTAAAGTATGCAGTTTTTCCTACCATTTTAAGCAGTGATATGTTCATAATTCATTATGTAGTTTTTGAAATATAATTCTTAAGTTTGACAGAGAAATACTGCATAGTCATTGTAACATTTAAGATGCTATTCACAGAAGGATCAATGAAAAGTGCCAACCAAGAAATGTGGCCCTGAAGATAAAATGTCTGTTTCTATCAAATTACTTCTAAATCACAGGAAACTACAAATTAGACTACTAAGCAAATAATATGAAAAATAAATGTTTCCCATTACCTATAAAGGAAAACAATCTACATTAACTTATTTCTAATTCTGTAATTATGGCACAAAAGTTAAGGGGTACTGCTTATATTCCCCAAAGAAAATTTCCTTAGAAGATGTGAGAAACAAAGATTATGTATCACAAAGGAATTATAAATGTAATTTCATAGCTGCATCTTTGCTTCGTGTCATCTTTGATTTGCTATCAGAAGGGTGCTTCCAGGACCTAAGTGCACACTGACAATGTCCTCCATCACAGGAAAACAACAGTATACTTCTTGAAATACAACTCCAAACTGAAGTATCTGTACTTCTTGACTTCATTATTACTAATACTTGCTAATTGTTTTCTGAAAATTTCACTCCTAATATGAGTGACTTTTTAAAAGTTGCATTATAACTAAGTAACTTCTCAACTCTAAGTCTTCTGGTGACCTCCTACTAATTCCAGAATAAAATCTCAACAACTTACTGGCTACATACAGTCCTCAAGTGCTTTAAGGAGCTAACTCTGGATCTGCCATGCGGCCTTCTCACTGGACACATGAAGAGGTACATGCATCCTTGGACAAATGACCTCCAATGCACCAGTATATCCTGTTGACTCTGCCTCAAGTTTTCTTCCTCTGGATTTGTGGTGAACTCACCCTTCAAGCACAATTCACAACAGGTCCCTTCTAGATATCTCCTCCTCCTCCAAGCCTGTAGTGCTGCTCAGATCATAGGTCTACCCAAGCACATAGCACTTCTGTTTCTTCGCTTCATCATGAGTTCTTTAACTATGCCACAATGCTGGCATCCGGTATGGGTACCGGTTCAACAGCCAGCTAATCTACTTCCAATTCTGCTCCCTGCTAATATGCCTGGGAAAGCAGTAGAAGATACACCAAGTAATTAACCTTCCTGTCTCCAAAAGGGCGACCAGAAGATGTTACTTGCTCCAGGATTTATCCTGGCCCAGCCTCAGCCCTTGGGGACCTTTGGAGAATGAGCCAGTAGATAGAAGATCTCTCTGTGTGTCTTTCCTTTTCTCTCTGTAACTTTGCCTTTCAAATAAATGAATAAATCTTTAAGGGGAGAGGAGAAACTGTTTTTTACAACTAAAGGGTCTATCATAGGCCTCAGTATATTAGATTTTGAACAAACACCTAGTGAGAGGCCAGGGTGCAAGGTTTATCAGGGTCTCCCATGTTTTGGTATATAAAAACATACTGTTTATTTTTCAATTGTTAAAAATATAATTATTTTAACCAGGTATCATAATAATAAAAAAAAGAGTGACTTGACTTCTAAGCTAATTTCAGCAATATTCAGCATTCCAAATCTATAAAATGGTTACTGATTTTTTTCACTTAGCTGAATAGCAGAAATAATTACAAAGTTTTTATACCACAGCTATTGCATAGATAACTCTCAATTTCTTATTCTCTTTGATGACAGCAATAAAATTTAACCATAGCAACAAGAAATATTAACAACATACTTAACAAGTCAAAACTAAAGATTTAGCTGAACAAATGTTATATTCTTTGAAGAAAGATTTAACAACCACTCTTGGCTTAAAGGATGTGAGCCTACTAATGATGGACTTGAAGCAGACAAGCTGTTACTATAAACATATTAATACATACATATTTCTCCACCTAAAATTCAACCTACTCTTCTCTAGGACTTATGGATTATAATTATTTAGGTTGAAGGCATGCAGAATTGAGGATTATTGTACCTTATTTTAATTTGTGAAAGCTGTTTTAAGAACTTCTTGGTGGAAGTTTCAATGCAGAAAATTGAATTCTTTTTTATTATTGAAATTAAGATATTACACTATATCAAGTATGTATTAGCCCAAAGGATTTGAGGATAAATTTCAAAAGTTCATGGAAAAAAGAATTAGATAATAAATTTAGTTTCATCTAAAACATTTCAAAATTCATATACTGCTTTATAATATACATTTTCCATGAACTTCTTCGAGACACTTTGTATAAAACTATTGCTGAAGTGCATCTTTTATTTTCTGATGAACTTCATTACCAAGTAATAAGCATAGATTTATGTCTAGAAAATAGTGTCAATGGGAATGGTATCCATACAGCTCAGTGTCTTTAACAACATACTTGACATTCCATATCTCCTTTAGCCAGATCTATTAAATTAAGACCAGTTCAGAAACTATTGTGAACAGTAGCATGGGACCCTACATTTCCTAAGTTCTGTGGTGGGATCATCTTTGCAACAGAGGCAACTCAAAAATACATATATAAATAGCCGTTGATTATATGGCTTTGAGTATTGGTTCTCATAAATTAATAAATCCTATTGCCTCATCCTGTGGCCTTCCCCCTCTACGGCTGAGACAGGCGCAAGGTGGATACAAGCTTCCGTTCTCTCCCTGGAGGGCTGAGCCCTGCAAACCAAGGCGGGGACTCTCCTCTATGCTTGAAAGTCCTCACCACTGTGTGCGACTCCGGGGATTCCAGGATGATGGTGCTGGGGGAAAGTGCTCAGTCTCGGGGAAGAATCCTGTGGAGATGTAGAGCTGAACAATGGCTTTTCCGGCTTCTTCATAGTAGTCGGAGAAGACATATCTTCAAAAAAAGAGAGAGAGGAATCTGCGTTTACAAACTTATAACACTGCGCGATTCGCAACATCTAAGATCTTATTTTGCAACCATTCAGTAATTCTGGGCTTTGGCTCTTTGAGAAAAACCTCTCCTGACACTCAAGGACTCAGCCATCAGAGATTTGTCACTGCAGTCAGAAACACGCTCTACTGCAGGTAACTGAAACCTCATTAAAATTTTTAACAGAATTATTCCTGCTTCCAAATAAATCTTAACTTTCTGAAAACTCAACCATCTTATTTTTAGCTTTTTTCGTTCACATAAAAGTGTTCTTCATCCTTATATGTGTAAGATTCAGGTGCTTATCTTGGACCTTCTGACTCTGCTGTGAACAAAATAGAGGACAATCTGGTTCAAACGTGAAAAACAATCTTCGGGTGTGCTGGGAAGTCTATCATTGATTTTACATCTTTTATGGAAAATTCATTCACCGTTTAGCAAAAAGTACATTCTTTAATTTGTTCCTTCGGCAAATATTTACTGGTGTCTCTATTTGCCAGAGAAAGCAAGCATGGTTACGAAAAAAAAAAAAATATCTGCTTCCAGAGATGCTCACTTGTCCACGAAGAATAAAATAACTGTCAGCACTCAAGAGAAATGTATGCTGGAGAGTAGGTTATGTAGCGACATTTGTTGCCTCTGGGCACAGATCTGCCTCCCCAGGTTAAGAAAACATCCCATAATAATACTATTTGCAAAACGTGGATGCGTATAACATCCCCAAAGGGGAAATATTTGAAAAAAACAACTAGCATAAAATACGCAGGTATCACAAATAGTTTGCACAGTGGCAAAAGGGTAGAAATGAACAGGGAACAAGCAGGAAGAAATAACCTGAGTGCTTATCATTTATGGCGGAAGAAACACCACAGATGGGCAAAACAGGATTACAAGCACAGTTTATAGAGCGACCCTCCAGAAACCAAATACAGGATAGAAGAGCCACACACAGAAAGGTCAAACCATACAGTCATCCTGCTTCCTTTCTTTGCCTTCTCTCTCTCCCTCCGTCTCTTTCTTCTTTCCTTCCTTTCTTCCTTTCTTCCTTTCTTCCTCTCTCCTTCTCTTTCTTTCTTTCTTTCTTTCTTTCTTTCTTTCTTTCTCTTTCTTTCTTCCTTCCTTCCTTCCTTCCTTCCTTTCTTTCTTTCTCTTTCTTTCTTTCTTTCTTTCTTTCTTTCTTTCTTTCTTTCTTTCTTTCTTTCTTTCTTTCCTTCCTTCCTTCCTTCCTTCCTCCTCCTTCCCTCTTCCTTCCTTCCTTCCTTCCTTTCTTTCTTTCTTTCTTTCTTTCTTTCTTTCTTTCTTTCTTTCTTTCTTTCTCTCTCTCTCTCTCTCTCTTTCTTTCTTTCTTTCTTTCTTTCTTTCTTTCTTTCTTTCTTTCTTTCTTTCTTTCTTTCTTTCTTTCTTTCTTTCTTTCTTTCTTTCTTTCTTTCTCTTTCCTGATTTATATCAGCCCCTGTACTAATGATTCATGATGCTAAAACTTCATTCATTCTTCCTTTCTATAACACCTAAAATCTTGAAGAGGGTGTGTGTAGTGTAGCAGATAAAATGTTGCCTGCATCCCATACTGGAATACTTGATTTTGACTTCCCACTCTGGAGTCCAACTTGCTGCTCATGTACACCCTGTGGGGCAGCACCTCATGGTTCTGATGGTTGTATCTCTGCCACACACAAGGGACATGGGATTCAGATCTAGGCACCTGGTTCAGATCTGATCTGAATGTGGACATTTGGAGAATTTACGAGTGATGGCAGCTGGCTCTCACTCACTCTCTCTGTCTTAGAAATAAATAAAACAGTAAGCAATCCTGGCAGCATTGGAGTAAGGAAAGAGCTAAAACAACATGTAATTAAATGGAATGAATCCAATCAAATTAGTAACTCATGTGTGAGATTATTTTAGGTGACTAGCAGGCTACTTCAAGCAGTTATCTGGGTCAGAGGAAATTCAGCAGGAATCTAGCTAGAAAAGATGTATCTTGACTTTATACTCTTGAATAAGGATTGGGAAGGTTTATAAATTCATAGCATGTATTGTAAAAACTATTTATACTTTTGCTATCAATGATTTTAAATATTTACACAAGAGTATAGGATGGTAATTGGTCCTCACATACTCATTACCAGCCTTCAGCAATTATCGACTCATAGGCAATCTTATTTCATCTTACTCCCATCTACACTTCTTCCCCTTGAATTTCTTTGAAGAAAATTCCAGATCCTACAAAATTTCAGCTCAACGTATTTCAGTATGTATATTTAAAGGGAAAAAGTCCTTTTTAAAAGGAAAACAACAAGGAAATTTCACCATTTAAAATTATGTGCATTCTATAAATGTTTTAAACTGACAGGACACTTCAAGGTAATGGTTATGCTTTATCATTTGAAAGATTATCCAGGCTCTAATGAAGCCATCAAATAAAATTATGTGTTACCAGCAAGCTGGCACTAAACAAGTGGATTAAAGACATTAGACAACATAGTTGACCACCACCAACAAAAAAGCCAGGTATTTTTGTAGCCATAAGCTACAATTTGTAACTAACTGGCCATCAGTAGCAGAACACTGATAAATCAGAATTATTTCTTTGTTGTTTCCTCAAAAAGGTAAAAAGGAATTATTCATGAAATCACAACAATAATTCCATCTCTAAAAAAAAAAAAGAATAAAAAGTTTAAGGTTGAAAAATCAAAACAAGCTCATATCAACTATCTTTAGAATGCATAAAACAATACCTAACTTCTCTTAAGAGTAATGTGATTTTAAAAGATGGCATCTAGGTTTTTGCCTCCTCGAGGTAATAACATAGACACACACATTGTGAGAAGTGAAAAAAAAAAACTTTACCCCATGTACAGAGACACAAAAGTGAATACCCTCCCAAATTAGAAGAAAGGCTCTGGACTAAATGGGAAAAGAAAAGTCAATTATATGAGAAAAGTAAAGGTAGAGTTTCTGGCTATTATGTTGTCATCGTGAACGAAACCGGTATTGTTTTGATTTTAATTTTATCTTGAATGTCTGCAGTCTAATGCACTTTGTGCCAAAGAGAAGGATGATATCATTTCTATTTTTAATGCACTCACATGCCACAGATAAATAATGTTTGAAGAATGAATATAGAAAAGAGATGATTTTAAATGACATTTCTGTGAAGAAAAACAAATGTCATGCTTTTCACAATGTGCTGTTTCTTAAACAGGAAGAATAATAGATAAAAAGATTAGGTTGACTATAAGTTGAATAATGTATAAATATACAACAAGTTGAATACTAATACATATATGCAAACATATCAGTTGAATAATGCATTAAAATCAGAAGCTGAAGAGAGAAGTAAGATGATTTAAAAAAAACAGCTGAAGTTTCTATTGCTGGGTGGCAGGCAAGAATTGCTGATGGCTGAAAAGAAAGAAGTAAAATCCATGAGGGCTTAAAATCAGCAATGAATTTTAAATTAAACTCAAGAAAGAACAATTGTAAATGAATTAATAGCAGAAGGAAACGAGTTCCCAACTAGTCCATTTTTTTAGTTCTGCTAGCCTCCACCAGGTCTTTTTACTAGTAACTGTTTGAATCAAGAATCTCCTTTCAAATATTCTCCTGTTTTTTCTCACTATGGCTCATTATGAAAACAGTCATTTGAATCTCATCCTTCAAATAATACCATTCTCATTTGAACATCTGCCATGCAACACATCTTTATATAATTCAATACCTGTCATACCATTTGATTTACAGTTAAGTTAAACTAACTTGCTCATGGCCTCCAGGGTGGGCAGGAAAAACTTATTTCTAATTTTGTCTTTTTTTGTCATTTTTTTGTTTGTTTTTGGAAAATGACCATGATTTAGGACAGAAAATTATAGGCTTTTTTTTTTCTTTTACTACCTTATTGCACTTAGCAAACTACATTTTACCCATTGAGCAAATTTATTTTCTCCTTAAGTAATACCTTCTGGGAGATTTTGTAGTCTATATTTCCTTAACTATCTTATGTTTTTACCTTTTCCTACAAGACTGTTTTCCAATTTTTATTTGTTCTTTTCAATGTGTATATTTTAAATGTTATTTACTTATTTATTACAGACAACACACTTATCTGCTCATTGACACCCCAGTGCCTTTGATGGCCTCCAGCTGGGACTGAAGCCAGGTCCAGGGACTTCAACAAGATCTCCTACAAGAGTTTCCGCCCATAAGCTATCACTCCTTCCTACCAGGAGGAACTCTGGAGTCATGAGCAGAGCCTGTGTGCCAACAAGCATCTTCACCACCAGACCAAATGCCTTCCCTCACATACATTTTTTTCAAAAGCTGACTAATACCTTATCTTCCTACAATAGATGATTTCATTAAAGACATAAAAATACATGGAGATTGGAAGAAAAGAATGCAAAAGTAATCCCACATTTAAAGAAAGCAAGAGAGGTGTCTTGGGAGCTTACTTTAGAATCTCACATGTGAGAGTCTGTCGTGGAATGACTACCAGGAATTTAGAATAAGCAAAATCATCATAGCCAGTCTGTCTTAAAAGGCATGTTCCACAAATAGATTTCACCAGATCAGAACTACTAAGTTGAATGTAAACAAAGAAGTAGGAAGCATGAATCTATAGGTGAAGCAAAGAGAGAAAGCAAAACCAAGACTTGAATTCCTAACAAGTGTAAAGAGCCATAGCTTGACACAGGGTTCAAGATGTTAAATAAAATGACCTCTGCCTTATGATAATGCTTACAGTTCAGCAGAAAGAATAGCCATTTAGGACAATAGTCATTAAATAATTGCAATTACAATAATAACAACATACTGCAAGAACTTGTAAAATGTGTATCATGAAAGCACTATGCATAGACTTCAGAAATTTTTGAAACAAAAAAAGTTTATCTTTGAATTCCATTTCCACAAACTTTTTGAATAATACCCACATCAAATTGTAGAAATTGTAGAGTGCTCTCCTT